GCGGGTCTGCAGGGCCTGCCCCAGCTGGGCGAGGCTGGTGGTGAAGGGGTGCGGGAGAAGGCCGGTCCTCGGAGCCCTGGCGGGGCTGCGCACTGGAGAGAACCAAGACCCCCTATATGGGATAAAAAGGGTATGTGTGTCCCGCTGCTCCGTGGGCTCAGACGGGCCCCCATCCCTCACCCCCCCGCCCGCCCACCCCGCAGAGATGCCCAGGCATCTTCTGGCCCTGGGCGCACCGGCTGTGCCGAGCCCAAGACTAACCGAGGTGCCAGGTGTCCTGGAAGGGGCGCCGGCGCCCGTTCCGGAGCCACCGCACGGGAAGAGGGGCGCAAGGCAGCCGAGCCTCCGGCCACTGGGGGGGTCCCAGAGGCTTCCGGCGCGGCCCGTCCGGGAGCCTGACCCTCGCCCCGGTCGCCCCTCTGCTTTGCTCCAGGCTTCCGCCCACCCCTCAGTCCCCCAGTCCGGGGGGCGTCCGCGGTGCTGGCCCTCCACCCTCCCTGAGGCTCGCCCCCGGGCTGGCCTTCGGCTCCGTGGCCCCCTCGGTGGACCGCGCGTCGCGACGCAGGGAAGCCCTTCCCGGCAGGGCAGGGGCTCGAGCCGGACCGCAGCGACCCCGCCCCAGCCTACAACCGCCGGCGGTCCGGCTTTCCTGAGGGGCCTCCATTCCCCCGGGAGAGTCCGGAACCTCTCCGGAGAAGCCGTCGCCCCCGGACCCCTGACCTCGCGTCCTCGCAGTCCTACGGCCTGGCAGAGCCCACCCCTCTAGGCCGCGGCCCACGAGGGCCTGCCGGGCCCGCACCACCCTCCGCGCCGTTTCCCGGAAGCCCCGCCCGGCCACGGCTCTTGACGGGCGGGCGGGTCGGCCAACCGGAGCGGGGCGGGACGGGGCGGGACGGCTCTGGGGCGGGGCCCGGCCCCCTCGGCCAATGGCAAGCCGCGCCAGGCTGACGGACGGGCGCAGGGCGGGGCGTGCGCCGGTCCCCGCCCCCGGCCCCCCCCCGCCCCCCCGCCCCGAGTGTCCGCCGCCCGCGCCCCGCCGCCGGCAGCCGGAGCCGCACCCTCCGCGGACCGAGCCCATGCGCTGGGCGAGCCGCGCGCCCCGGCCGCGGCCCCTTTCCCCGCCCCCGCCCCGGCCCCGGCCCCGGCCCCGAGGGCAGTCGCGCCAGTGAGCGGTGAGTGCGGCGGGGGCGGGCGGGGGGCGGGCGGCGGCCCCGACCCGGGCTGCGGCGCGGGGCGTTGGAGGCGCGGCGGCGGCGGCGGGGCGCGCGGGGGCGCAGGTGAGCCGCGGGCGGGAGGGCTGCGGGAGGCGGCGGGGGCACGGTGCGTCCGCGCCCCTGGCCCTGCCCTCCGCGGGGCCCCAGCCGTGCTCTTGGGCAGCGTGCGGGGGGCCCCCCGAGCCGAGGTCCGCCGCGGCCCCCCTCGAGTCCACGGCGCGCTCCCAAGGGCTCGGGCACTGGGCGGCCATCACGGTACACAGCCGGCGAGTCAGGGGTTAGGAAATCGCTGCCCACTGTCTAGGGACAGGAGCAAGGGCACCCCGCGTTCAACCTCACAAATCGGGACACCCCGCCGGAGGCCTTGAGTCTTGCTCACCTGCACCCCTGCTCCGCGCCTCCGCTGGGCCTGTTTCTCTCGCTCGGTCCGTTACCGGGAGCCCTCCTCCCCCCAACCCGCGCCCGGCCGCCTCCTCGGTGTCCTTTCTCCGAAGCTCATTGGTAGCAGGATACAGTGGGTTTCCCCTTATTTTAACGCGTGCCAGCCTTTTCCTTGGAGAAGGGGCCGGGGGCTTCTTTCCCTGCTCGTCACCCTGCGCCTGGAACAGCAGCTGGCATGCAGTAGGCGCTCAGTAAATGCTTGTCAAAGGCAGCAACATGCTGGCGGCGGGGGGGTGGGGTGGGGGGGGTCCTCAGCCAGTCGAAGGCTGGCGCTGGCCTGCCCAGGCACGCTGCTGTGGCCCGACCTGTTCTTGCAGGGAGGGGACCGATAACCTCAGCCTGCAGGGCTTCCAGTTCAGGCTTTCTGCCTACCCAGCAACTTCTAATTTGGGTGCGTGCTTGGGAGATGCTCTCAGCTGTCAGCTCTGCCTTTTGGGGGCCAGCTTTCTGCTCTCTCAGAGCCATAAGTGCAGCTGGAGTGGGGGCCGTCTGCCACCCCTGGGCTAGAGGGGCTGCAGGTGGGGGGGGGCTGGGCCCCGTTCCCTGGCTCTCTGGGGCCAGAGGGTGGGGCGGTGGCATGGGGAGCTCACAGGCCTGCTCCGTGGGGCTGGGCCTGTGCTGAGTGCAGCTCCCTCCGCAGGCGGGACGGGAGACCACCGCAGTGCCCCGTGCTTCAGCCCTTGAGGAGCGATGACGGAATATAAGCTTGTGGTGGTGGGCGCTGGAGGCGTGGGAAAAAGTGCCCTGACCATCCAGCTGATCCAGAACCACTTCGTGGATGAGTATGACCCCACCATCGAGGTGAGTGTCGGTGCTCCCGTCCCCAGCCTCGACTCCTGAGGTGGGCTTGTCTTCCGTGTGCTCCGCGGGAGGGCGTCCCCCGCTTGTGGGACTTGGGGGTGGGGCAGGAGAGAGGCCCAGGATGGGCCCATCCTAGGAGAGGGCGGGGGGGTTCCTGAAGCCTGTTCTCCTGCAGGACTCCTACCGGAAGCAAGTGGTTATCGACGGGGAGACGTGCCTGCTGGACATCCTGGACACGGCGGGCCAGGAGGAGTACAGCGCCATGAGGGATCAGTACATGCGCACCGGGGAGGGCTTCCTGTGTGTGTTCGCCATCAACAACACCAAGTCCTTTGAGGACATCCACCAGTACAGGTGGGCTGCTGGCCGGCCCTTGGGGCTTCTCTGTCCTTGTTTCTCCTCATGTCTCTGTCCTGGTTCTGGATGCAGCTCTGCCTGCAGCTGAGCGACTGGCTCCCACTTTTTTCCTCGTAGGGAGCAGATCAAGCGAGTGAAGGACTCCGATGACGTGCCCATGGTGCTGGTGGGGAACAAGTGTGACCTGGCTGCCCGCACCGTGGAGTCCCGGCAGGCACAGGACCTCGCCCGCAGCTACGGCATCCCCTACATCGAGACGTCGGCCAAGACGCGCCAGGTGAGCCGGCTCCCCACCCCACCTCGAGCCAGGGACCCGCCCCGCCCCGCCCCCGCCAGGGAGCAGTGCTCATTGCCCCCTCTCCCCCGACACAGGGCAGCCGCTCTGGCTCTGGCTCCAGCTCCGGGACCCTCTGGGACCCTCCGGGACCCCCGTGACCCAGCGGCCCCTAGCGCTGTAAGTGTCCCCGGACGGCAGGGCAGCGAGGGAGGCCAGGGCCCAGGGTCTGGGCTGATCCAGCTCCAGGGAGAGGCGGAGGTCCCTGGAGAGAGCTGCCCTGAGCCAGGCCGGAGCGGCGACCCTGGGGCCCTGGCTCCTCGGCCCCCAGAGTGCCCTGTGGGCCCTTGTTGGCCCTGCCCCCTTCATGGGCTGGTGGGGACAAGGTTGGTAGGTCAGAAAGGAGAGGGACACGGGGATGTTCAAGCTGCGAGCCAGACCCCGGGCCCGCCCTGTGGGGGAGGCTCCTGAGGAGCGAGCTGCCTGGTGGGGGCAGGCCTGGGGCTGCGGGATGAGCGGGGCCCAGTGGCCACATGGGAGTCGGAATGGGAAGAGGGTGGGGAAGGGCAGGGATTCTACGTGAGCTTGAGGCCGGGGGTCCCTCGGTCCCCTCCCCTGCCAGGCCCCAGGCCGAGTCCCACTCTGAGCCGGCCCCTCCTTTCCAGGGCGTGGAGGACGCCTTCTACACGCTGGTGCGCGAGATACGGCAGCACAAGGTGCGGAAGCTGAGCCCGCCCGACGAGGGGGGCCCCGGCTGCATGAGCTGCAAGTGTCTGCTGTCCTGACGCCCCCTCCCCCCACCATCTTGCAGGCCCTCTGTGCCCCCGGAGCACGGGCACGGAGCACGGGCATGGGGCATGCGGGTGCCGGATGCCAGGAGGAGGTGCTGCGGTCGGAGGGAGGGCAAGGGAGGGAAGGAGGGAAGCGCCGCCCCGCCGGCCCAGGCTCCCTGCACGGAGTCCGCACACCTCCCAGGACGCTTTGCACAGACTGTGGTGACCTGAGGCCACCGGCACCCGGCTGTCACTCTCCTCCCAGCCCCGTCCTGGTCCTTTGGGCACAGGCTGAGTTGCAGTAAATTATTGGATGGTCTTGACCCTGGCGTCTGGCCGAGATGGGAAGGGCCCCGGGTCCCTCAGCCTTGTCTGCCTGGAGGCCCCTCTGCGGGGAGCCCTGCGGGGACTGGGGAGGCGGGCTGGGCCAAGCCACCCTCTTCTGTCTGGGTGTCTGTCTGGTGCGTCTCGCAGAGAGTCTGGGCGCCTCAGGACAGGCCGGCTTTGCGTTCGACCACGACAACACTTTATTGAATGTCAGCAGTCAACAGGGGCTCAGAACCAAGGGTGCCAGCCTTCCCCTGGGGACGGACACCAGCTTCTCCTTCAGGGGAAGGGGGTAATCCCACGGAGGCCTGGGCACTAGCGTCCCCCACTTGGCACCTGTGCTGACGGCGGGTGTCGGCACGTTTCCCAAGTTTCCTTGAGAGGCAGGTGCTGAGGACGCGGACCTGAGCTGGGGTGCAGCATCAGGGTTCCCGGACAGGGTCCCAACACATCTGCCTGGCCTTGGCCACTGCCCCATGGCTGCCAGGTGACCGCTGGAGACCCGCGCTCTGGTGGCCCCTGCCTCCTACTGTTGGGGAGGGGAGGGCAGGGCCCACCTGCCCGTCCATGCGCCCAGGCTGGGGTGACCTGTGGTCCCCAGTGCTGACCTAGGTGGGAGTCGTGCACCCGTGGGGCATGCCCAGGCCCCAGGTGGACACAGAGAATCCTTCAAGGACTTGAGCAGCTTTGGGTCAGAACTCAGGACTGCCCAAGGCCACGGGGCCCGAGACCCATCAGTCTTCCTTCTGGTCGTGGGGGAGCTCGTGTTGTCTCTGCTCCCGGGGGCCTGGGGTCAGGCCAGCGGAGGTCCCTCTAGGTCAGTGACTTGTACATCCTGGCGGGGGTGCCATCTTCCAAGAAGTCCAAAGTGAGGAGGCAGGGCACCGTGCTGGCTGCCCAGAGCCTCTTGGCCCCCACGCTCTTCTCCAGAGGCTGAGGGGCATCTACTTTCCCCATCAAGGAGGAGATCAGAGGGGCCTGGGCAGGCTCGGCGCCCTGGGGCTGTGGGCTCAGCGTTGGCCCGCACGTGTCTCGGCTGGGCTGGTCGAAGGCCACACAGGGGCAGGAGCTGCAGAGGCCCCAGGGCAGGAAGGGTGTCCTTGGCCCTCCTGCATCCTTCTTCCTGGGGTGGGATGATCTCGTCCCAGGAGACCCAGAGATGTTTTGGGGCCTGGTCTGGGGTGTGGCCACAGGGGTGGCCCCAGCAGGGGTTAAAGGGAAAGGGACCCAGTGTTGTGGCCTCAAGGCCATGTCCACAGGCCCCCTGCATGCAACCCCCCTGATGTCCTGGCAGGTTGGGGAGGGAACTGCATCACTGCCAGGGTAGCCGGGCAAGCGAGGGGTCCTGGGCTGGGGGCAGCTGTGCCAGAACTAGGGTCCCAGGGGCTTCTGGCCACAGGGGTGCAGCCAAGGGCTGCGTCGACCTTCCCTCCTGCAGTGGCTGCTTGGCCTTGAGCACGGCCTGGCGGGGAAGGGGTCCCAGCTGCTCAGGGTGTGTGGCTGGGCCTGGGGAGGCCAGCCTGTCCACTCCAGAGAGCGTCTCCAGTGTAGGAGAAGGGAGGAGGGCTGTCGGGGCTGGGGACACCTGCTCCTGGCCCAGGGGCATCTTGGGGAGCTCTTCAGGGCCGGCTGCAAAGAGGCAGACTGGGTTAGCGTCTCCAGCAGGCTGCTTGTGCCCAGCTGGCTGGGCCCCCAGGGTGTGTTCCCGCCTCCCGGGTGTCCACCCTGGCCTGCCCCTCACACCTGATCCAGGCCGTGGATGCCCCGCCCCCACAGGGGTCACCCCGATGCCCGGGCCGGGCCTGGGTTCCCTGAGGTTGGAGCAGAAGAGCAGAGGGACAGAAACACAGAGGAAGGCCCCCCAGGAACTGGGTCCACTGTGAGTGGCCCCAGGAGGGTGAGGCAGGAGGGGACGGGGACCGGAGCCCACCTGGCGGGGGCAGGTCGCACTTCCTCCATCGGAGATGGGCCATGGAGGCCCGAAGCTGTTTGAGGACGGCCTCATCCTCCAGGGCCCAGGGCTGGGCCAGGGTGTCTTGAAGGAAGCCCTGCAGCCCTTCCAGGGGCAGCTTCAGGAGGCGTTCTGGGCAATGGGTGTGAGTCAGAGCAGAGGGGCGCCTCCCCACTGTCCCAGGATCCTGCCCGGGGACAGTGGTTGGGCGTCCCGCTGTTCCCAGGAGCACCACGGGCAGAGCCGCGCAGGAGAGGCCCCGTGCCCGCTGCTCCTCTGCAGGGGGGCCCCCAAGCCACCGGCCGGCCTGTGTCCCTCCACCAAGGCCTGCCTGCTCCTTGCTCCTGGGAGCAGTGGGCCATCTCCCCGGCCCCCCATACCTGCATCAGACACCCCTGGGCTCCCACGGGGTCCCTTACTGCGGTGCAGCCTGAGGACGGTGTAGGCCATAGCTGTGAGGACACGCTCTCCGTCCAGCATGTAGGCGTCCCACAGCTTCAGGGTGAGCGCGAAGGGGGTCTGCAGGGAGAGAGGGTGTGGGAGGCCCAGGGGGGTCTCCACGGGGCGAAGGCCTCCCCTCTGCCCCGCCCCTGCCGCCCCCCTGGCTGCGTCGGACAGGGCTCCGCAGCCCGTCTTGTGGGTGTCCTCCTCCTGGGGAAGATGGGCTCCAGATGACCTTGGGCAGGAAGGGCCCAGCCAGTACGACCCACAGACCTGGGGGGCCACAGACTCTGCCCCACCCTCGGTGCCCACACACCCCGACAGGACTCCAGGCTGGCCGCAGAATGGGCCGAGGGCCAGTCCGCTCCCAGGCTGACGTGGCCTTCCCTGGGGAGGCAGAGATGGACAGCGCCGGTCCCCCGGGACGTCCTCAAGGGGCCCCCTTTGGGGCTCCAGGACGCATCAGGACGGCGAGCCTCAGGCTCAGGGCCTTGGGGTCAGGCCTGGCTGGTCTGGAGCGTGAGGCCGAGCTCGGGCTTCCCCTGGGCCCGGGGCCGGGAGCAGGTCAGGGACCAGGTCTGCCTGGGGAGCCTTACCCGGCCGATGAAACATTGGAGAAACTACCTGGTGGTGTACAGCCCTGCGCTCATCTCTTGCTCGTCCTGGCAGAAGGACACAAGGTGCTCGGGTCCCAGCCAGCGGCCACCGCCTCCCTGACCCCGGCCCCGTGCACACACTCCCCGAGGCCCTGCTCAGCCCCGAGGGCGCCCTGGGCCCAGCAGGAGACGGAGCTGGACACCGGGCTCTGGGCAGCGTGGGCAGGGTTCTGTGGGTCCCCTCCCCCTGCCCCGGGCCGTGAGGGCAGGGCCTCCAGGGAGCATCTACTCGCCAGGTGTTTCTTCAGGCCTTTGAGCTCCTTCTCCATGATGTCGTCGTGATGCCGCTGGAAACGGGCCAGCTTTGGGAATCCTGGAGCGAAGAACCCTGAGAAGGCCCCAGGCACCCCCACCATCAGGGCCTTGTCCCCCACCAGGTGGGGGGTGAGTCTGCCAAGGGCTCCGCTCCCAGGCCCTGACTGGAGCGTGTGCCCACAGCCCTCCCAGCCCTGGCTGCGCCCGTTCGTCCGTGACAACAGCAGAGCCGTCCGGGCCTGGGGGGCCGGGCCAGAGGTCCCTCCTCCTCACAGAGACCCAGCTGAGTGGGTGGCCGGGCTGAGCACCAGGCC